TCCGCCTCCGCCTCCGCCTGCGCCTCCTCCTCCTCCTCCTCCTCCTCCTTCTCCTCCTCCTCCTCCTTCTCCTCCTCCTCCTCCGCCTCCTCTTCCTCCTCCTCCTCCTCCGTATCGTGATTACCATCATCTTGTTCACCCTCTGCTCCCCACGTACGCCCGTCCCTCCCTCCCTACTCGCTTGTTCTCTGGACAGGCAGGTGAGGAACCTCGGCAAACAGCAACGGCTTCCGCACAGCGGTGTAGTCGTTCCAGATGAAGAAGCCGTTGTCGCCAGGCTTCCTGAGGAGGGGGAAGAGGACAGGGAGGAGGAGGCGGAGGAGGAGGAGGAGAAGGAGGAGGGGAAGGACGTGAAAAGTCGGGGGAGACGAAGGATGAGGGCAGGCAAGAGGAAGGATGCTATATGGGAATGGGAGGGGGAGTGAGGAAGGAGGAGAAGGAGATGGGGAATGAGAAACTATGGAGATGTGTTGTAACACCCGAGGTGTTGCAAGTGGTTGCCTTTACTGGCGGGAGTGAGGCCAGGTCAATTAGCACGCCAGTGTAGCCTAGGCGTGACGGTGACAACCTTACCCCACCAGGGGCCGCTGGACACGCCCAGGTGAGGTGGCGTAAAGCTTTGACAATAGATAAGACGAGGATAAGCATGGTAGGTCGTAGCGGAGTAAGCCATGCACTTGCTTCTCGACAGCGGAAATGCACCTGCATGGCATAGGTTCGTATGGCCCATCCTAAGAGCACACTGTCCGCCAGTGGCGGGCAACCCGCAAGTTGGTAGCAGCGTAGACTTCACCAGGGCTACGCCCAGGTATGCGCCTGTGCCTCGTGATTGCTGGCGCTGGTAGCGAAGACGAGAAGACGTACAAGAGCATGCTTCGCTTACCACTGTTTGAATAGAGGGCCTAGATGGCTTATATTAACTTATATTGGTACATCCCAGCTACTACCAGAAGAACCCTGAACAAGGCATAAAGTCCATGCTGCCCCCCCAAAGCATCTGCGCGCACGAGGAGAGCTGAAGGAACAACCTTGGAACGACCTTTCGAAAAGCGAGCCTCTTCCGAATCAGAGTTGTTCCGTATTCCAGCGTCTCGTCTGCACTCGTGAGCACCTTTGGGCCTGCCTGCGTCGAACCGTCGGGTGACTGAACACATGCGCCGAGAAGAGGCAACAGCTAAAGCATCGATAATAATTATCCGAACGCGACACCAAAGCCCGCAGAACAATCGGAAGACAGCTGCGTACTGCTGCGCCCACCTGTATGCTGGTACGCCCCAAGCCCCTTTATCCGCAACCGTGCCTCTGGGCAGCGTGCCCGCAGATCAGTTGCCTCATCCTCTAAGCCTCAATCCTCACTCCTGAGGAGTCTCTTAGGGGCCTGGAGCCGAGATTGCCAAATCTCTCGGGGATGTTCCGCATGCCCCCTGGGCTCTGGGAAGGGCGTCGCATAACGGCCCCAGGGCCAAGAGGGCCCCAAGACAGGCCAAGAGGGCCCCAAGCGGCCTCCAAGACGGCCCAAGAGGGCCCCGAGCCGCCCAAAGATCGGTCCAAGACGCCCAAGATGGCAGCACCACGGCCCAAGAGGCCTCCAAGACGCCCGAATAGAGCTCCAAGAAGCTTCCCAAGAGAACCCCAAGAGGCCACACTCGTCAATGTTACGAAGGTTGTGACGGATGTTGAACTTCTCGCCTTTTCGGCTTTCCGACGTTTTCAGACGGCCCAAGAAGCCCCCAAAGACCACCCCAGACGGCCCAAGAGGACCCCGAGATGGCCCCATGAAGGCCCCAAGACGGCCCAAGAGGAATCCAAGACGCCCAAGTGGCATCGAAGGCGGCCCTGGAGCACCCCAAGAGGGCCCCAGGTCGGCCCAGAGAGGAGGCCACCAAGACAGCCCAAGATGGCCCCAAGATGGCCCACGAGGCCCCCAAGAGGTCTCCAAGAGGTCTCCAAGACTGTCCAAGAGGCCTCCAAGAGGCCCGACGAGGCCAACATGATTGATTTCCTTTGGTGAAAGAAGGATGTCGGCGATTGCTTCTTTTCGGCCGTCCGACGGCCCGAGCGGCCCAAAAGCCCCAAAGATCGCCCCAAGATCGCCCAAGAGGCCTCTAAGATGGCCCCGGAACGGCCCACGAGGCCCCCAAGACGGCCCCATGAGGGCCCCAAGACGGCCGAAGAGGCCCCCAAGACGCCAAAGATGGCCTCTAAGACGACCCTAGAACACCCCAAGACGGCCCCAAGTCGGCCCAGAGAGGCCCCCGAGACGGCTTCCGACGGCGCCAGACGGGCCAGGAGAGGGCCCAAGATGGCGCCAAGCTGACCCAAGTCGGCCCAAGGGGCCCCCAAGAGGTCTCCAAGACGGCCCAAGAGGCCTCCAAAAAGGCCTGCAGAAAGACCTCCAGCAAGGCCCGACGAGGCCAAAATCATTGATGATCCTTACGTTGCTGAAGGGTGAAGGGATTGTTTTCTTGTTGGCCTTCCGACGGCCCGAGACGGCCCAAGAGCCCCCAAAGATCGCCCCAAGATCGCCCAAGAGGCCTCCAAGATGGCCCCGAAGAGAGCCTCAAGACGGCCTCAGTGGGGCCCCAAGACGGCCCAAGAGGAATCCAAGGCGCCCAAAGTGACCTCAAAGTCGGCCCTGGAGCACCCAGAGAGGGCCCCAAGTCGGCCCAGAGAGACCCCCAAGGCAGCTTCCGACGACGTTAGACGAGCCAGGAATGCCCGAAGACGGCCAAAGAGGCCACCGAGAAGCCCCCCTAAACGCCCCCAAGAGGCTCAAGGAGGCCCCCACGTGCTTCCAAGACGCTCCCAGGAAGCTCCCAGGAGGCCCCAAGAGTGCCCCCAGAGGCTCCCAAGATGCCCCCTCCTCCTCCTCCTCCTCCTCCTCCTCCTCCTCTTCCTCCTCCTCCTCCTCCTACTCCTCCTCTTCATCCTGCTCCTCCTCCTCCTCCTCCTCCTCCTCCTCCTCCTCCTCCTGATCGTCCCCGCCATCCTCCCCCAAATGTTCCCCGAAGGGTTTCCACAACGGCTGGGGGAACACATGGTCGGATAGCTTGGCAGGGCTCTTGCCACAACGCTCGGCCACATGAGCGATTCCAAAAAAGGCAGGTGGCAGCGGTGATTCGCCGTAGGCAACTTCGATAAAAATAAAAATGAGGGACCCCTGCGGGAGGGATCCCCTCAGTCATCCACTCCTTCAAACTGTATGAAGGGGAATGGATGGTGCCTGGTATTTGCATTTGCCTGGTTGGACCCCTGGCTTGGCAGGACGAAAGACTTTCCTCTTGAGCCTCTTGAGCTTTGGTTCAAGGCCTTTGGCTAAAGTGATTGGCTCAAGTGCACTGTCTTCTCACCAGATCTCTCACATATCCTCTTTTCTGTCTACTCACCATCTTCGCACTCCGATCCCACACCGATGGCTTCTTCAGATGATGGCGGCGCGCCGTCAGGCAACTTTTCAAACAGCATAGAACCCATAGCCCGCTTCATGAAATGGATGGGCTGGAGGACGACACTGCAGCACAAGGTGGAGGAAAAGGAGGAGCTGGGGCGTCGACGAGGGAGATCACCATGAGTGCGATCGAGGGCATGTTCAAGCAGTACCTGCAGCCTCTACAGCAGGACGTTGCAGCTATTAAACTACATGGGATATCCAGGGATGAGTTACAGCAAGCTCTGGAACCTGTCCAGGCGGAGATGAACAAACTCACAGAGCGCGTCGACTTCCTGGAGCGATCGGGATCCCGGTCGCCATCGGCAACCTCAGGAGCAGCGCCAAGCATCACGTCACACATCGAACAAATGATATTCGGCCTGGAAAAACAATTCTCTGAGATGACGGGCCGGGACCGAGAATGCAGTGCGGTTGTCGGGGGCTTGGGTAACTTCTCCGATATATGGAAACAGCCGCGGACTTCCTGAAGGGCCAGTTCGTGCGCACCCGCGTGCCAGAGCACATCGACATCCTTGCCAAAGGCGCATTCAACAGCATAGTCTTCGTGAAGTTTGGCTCCGCTGAAAAGCGTGACAAGTTCGTCAACGTATTCGGTAAAGCCCAGATCACGCACAATGGTAACGCTGTGTGGGCCGCGCCGACCAACCAATTGAGAAGCGGGTGCCAGAAAGCTTTCTGTTCGGCTTGCGCAAACAGTTTATGGAATGGGGCTACTCGCAAAACGAGGTTCGCGTTGATAGAAACAACTTGGCACTCACAGTAGCAAAACATCCAGTGGTATCTGTACGCGTTGTCAACACTATCAGTATCAATTGGGAGGGGGCCTGAAAGAACTGGGACGAGCTCACGAAAAGTCCAGAAGTGAATCACCTTGCTACTCGGGCGAACGACGCGTTGTGCCGATCTGCCAAGGGAGGTGGGAAGGGCAAGAAGGGTGGGCAGGGTCCAGAATAGGAACTCGCACGGCGCATCGGCCACGAGAGAGCAGCTTCACTTGGCAGATGGGTAGCATTCCCATGTTGGCCAATATCTTGCGGCAAAGTTGCATCCTGGAATGCCGAAGGCATTCACCAGGATCGTCCGCACAAGCGGCACGAGATTATCAAACACATGAGAGACATGGATACTGCAGTGGTGTCTCCAAGAGACACACTGCCGAGGTTCCCTGGTCTACGAATTCGAAGGCCACCTCTTCATCATGTCAGGGAACGAGAACGACACCAAGGAGTACGCTGGAGTGGGCTTCATTGTAGCACCATGGGCAGAACAGTCAATAAAAGGTTATTTGCAGTACAACAACAGAATGGCGAGCTTAAGGATACGAGAAACTGGATGTGTATTTACATTGGTGACAGCACACGCATACAAAAAAGAGTACGCATATGATACCTGGCACGAATTCTTTTCCGAGCTTGGGAAGTTCACCAAGAAGTGCCGCTCACATGGACCAACGACTCTACTTGGTGATTTCAACGCGCGGCTGGAGAGTTCGTCTTCGAGAACACCCGTGGCAGATGGGACGCTCTCTCAAACAGAGAATTGTTGGCAGAACTATGCACAAGCTTGGAATGTTACATTGCCGATACTTTGTTCGATGTGGGAAAGGAGGCGAAAGTAACGTACTACGACTTAAACACGCGACCCATGGACAAGATACAACCCGGAAAGTTCGAGCAACTTGACAATGTCATCGTCGAGCGGGCCTGGTTGGCGAACATAGTCAAACGTTGACAATGTCATCGTCGAACGGTGCATTTGGAGCGATAGGTCCAGAGCTCTGCAAACGCATCACTTTGTGAACATCGTGGAATTGGAAGTCAACATGCCTATA